GGTGCTGAGTTGCTCGTCATGCTTGGCTTGTTGGGCCTGAAGGGTGTCTAGCTTGGATACCAGGTTTTGTGTGAGAGGGTGTAAGGCGGCTTGGATTGCTGTGGTGAGGTCGGTGGCGAGGACAGGAGCTGGGGGTGCTCCCGTGGGTGGATTCGCGGTGGTTGGGTTGCCGTGCTCATCGAGAGCAGGTGTGCCGGTGTGCATGGTGGTGTCCTCGTTGTTGAGGGTGAGGTCGCTGCTATCAGACAGAAGGCTCATCGCTTCGGTTCTTTGGTCGCTAGTTTCAAGAATTTATTCTTCTAGTCCCCACAGACGGCGCCAACTGTTAAACTAGAAAATCACCACTAATGATTTGATTAACAGTTGTGGGTTTCGGAGAATAAGATCTTTTATTAATAGCAATAAAGCAAAGCGATTACAAAGACTGGTATAACCGAGAGGTTATGCCGAAGTGAAAGAAGGTGTTTGCGAAGTAAGTTAGAAAGCGTTGGAATTCTTGGTTTTAGCTCTGCTGCTCTCTAGATTGTATGAGTTGTTTTCTTCGGCTTCAGGATCTTCTTATTTATAGGGATATGAGGTCGATTGCTCCGAATTCCTATTCTTTTTTCCTTTGGTGAATATTTCCATATTTGCGATATGGAGATATCCCTTATTCTCCGAAGAATATGGAAATTCTCATTTATCTTTCGAGTCGATCCGATGCTTCCAGACTTCGAAAGTTATCTTTAGGAGTTTTCTTTTTATCTGAACTAGGTCGGCGCAGCTTACTAGTCTTGATGGACTTAAATTATTACTAGAGAAAGCCTTTTTGAAAATGGGCTCATTTTCTCTCTAACAAAAACCATCTTCTTTGAGATATGCAATGTCTTACTTCCCGATGTAGGAACCGCAAAAACCGAATTAGAAATGCGATTAATAAAACCGATTAGAAACGATAATATAATGTACGGAAAGCAAAGGAAAACCGAGTATAGAAAACGTTTTCGAGGAAAACCGAATATCGGAGGCGAGATGATCTCTTTCCGTAACTCAATAAATTGCCCGAAGTGAGACGGTGATATGCGATTTTTGAATCCCAAGATACAACCGATAATAGACCGCTTTGCAACACTCGAAACGGAATCTATGAACTTAGATTAGTACGATAAACTCTCGAGACTTACGTTAAAAGAAGAGGATTTGTTGGATTTTATGAAGAGTGAATTTTCAGTGTTTTCGAACTGAGAAATAATGAGAGTCACGACTTTCTTTTAAAGCCAGAGGAGAACGGTTTGATGATCCGCGAATCTCCGCAGAAGGTGGCACGTGCGCTTGTTACGCGAAGAAGGGAAGTGGGCGGAAGTTGAGGAAAGTCTTTTGACTCGGTTGAGAAAAAAATATTTTCAAGTTTGAACCGCAGAATATTCTTATTGGATCCAAAGATATTTAATTTCGTTTAAGTATTAGGCTTGAAACAGAAATCAAAATTTGGCCCGAAGGCCCAACACGACCTGCGCCCGCGCCTGGCCTAGCCTGGCTTGTCGGCGGCGGTGGCAAGCGTGGCTTGGTCCGAACTGAGAAATAATAAGAGTCACGGCTTTCTTTTAAAGCCAGAGGAGAACGGTTTGATGATCCGCGAATCTCCGCAGAAGGTGGCACGTGCGCTTGTTAAGCGAAGAAGGGAAGTGGGCGGAAGTTGAGGAAAATCTTTTGACTCGGTTGAGAAAAAAATATTTTCAAGTTTGAACCGCAGAATATTCTTATTGGATCCAAAGATATTTAATTTCGTTTAAGTATTAGGCTTGAAACAGAAGTCAAAATTTGGCTCGAAGGCCCAACACGACCCGCGCCCGCGCCTGGTCTACCCTGGCTTATCGGCGGCGGTGGCAAGTGTAGCTTGGTCCGACCTCTTACACGTACACAATAAATGTTAGACACGTGCGCAGAAGGTGGCACGTGCGCTTGTTACGCGAAGAAGGGAAGTGGGCGGAAGTTGAGGAAAATCTTTTGACTCGGTTGAGAAAAAAATATTTTCAAGTTTGAACCGCAGAATATTCTTATTGGATCCAAAGATATTTAATTTCGTTTAAGTATTAGGCTTGAAACAGAAGTCAAAATTTGGCCCGAAGGCCCAACATGACCCGCGCCCGCGCCTGGTCTACCCTGGCTTGTCGCCGGCGGTGGCAAGTGTAGCTTGGTCCGACCTCTTACACGTACACAATAAATGTTTGAACCGCAGAATATTCTTATTGGATCCAAAGATATTTAATTTCGTTTAAGTATTAGGAATGAAACAGAAGTCAAAATTTGGCCCGAAGGCCCAACACGACCCGCGCCCGTGCCTGGTCTACCCTGGCTTGTCGGCGGTGGTGGAAAGTGTAGCTTGGTCCGACCTCTTATACGTACACAATAAATGTTAGACATTTTTATTGGATCCAAAGATATTTAATTTCGTTTAAGTATTAGGCTTGAAACAGAAGTCAAAATTTGGCCCGAAGGCCCCACACGACCCGCGCCCGCGCCTGGTCTACCCTGGCTTGTCGGCGGTGGTGGCAAGTGTAGCTTGGTCTGACCTCTTACACGTACACAATAAATGTTTGAACCGCAGAATATTCTTATTGGATCCAAAGATATTTAATTTCGTTTAAGTATTAGGCTTGAAACAAAAGTTAAAATTTGGCCCGAAGGCCCAACACGACCCGCGCCCGCGCCTGGTCTACCCTGGCTTGTCGGCGGCGGTGGCAAGTGTAGCTTGGTCCGACCTCTTACACGTACACAATAAATGTTTGAACCGCAGAATATTCTTATTGGATCCAAAGATATTTAATTTCGTTTAAGTATTAGGCATGAAACAGAAGTCAAAATTTGGCCAGAAGGCCCAACACGACCCGCGCCTGGTCTACCCTGGCAAGTGTAGCTTGGTCCGACCTCTTACACGTACACAATAAATGTTAGACATTTTTATTGGATCCAAAGATATTTAATTTCGTTTAAGTATTAGGCTTGAAACAGAAGTCAAAATTTGGCCCGAAGGCCCAACACGACCCGCGCCCGCGCCTGGTCTACCCTGGCTTGTCGGAGGTGGTGGCAAGTGTAGCTTGGTCTGACCTCTTACACGTACACAATAAATGTTTGAACCGCAGAATATTCTTATTGGATCCAAAGATATTTAATTTCGTTTAAGTATTAGGCATGAAACAGAAGTCAAAATTTGGCCCGAAGGCCCAACACGACCCGTGCCCAAGCCTGGTCTACCCTGGCAAGTGTAGCTTGGTCTGACCTCTTACACGTACACAATAAATGTATGAACCGCAGAATATTCTTATTGGATCCAAAGATATTTAATTTCGTTTAAGTATTAGGCTTGAAACAGAAGTCAAAATTTGGCCCGAAGGCCCAACACGACCCGCGCCCGCGCCTGGTCTACCCTGGCTTGTCGGCGGCGGTGGCAAGTGTAGCTTGGTCCGACCTCTTACACGTACACAATAAATGTTAGAACCGCAGAATATTCTTATTGGATCCAAAGATATTTAATTTCGTTTAAGTATTAGGCATGAAACAGAAGTCAAAATTTGGCCCGAAGGCCCAACACGACCCGCGCCCGCGCCTGGTCTACCCTGGCAAGTGTAGCTTGGTCCGACCTCTTACACGTACACAATAAATGTTAGACATTTTTATTGGATCCAAAGATATTTAATTTTGTTTAAGTATTAGGCATGAAACAGAAGTCAAAATTTTGCCCGAAGGCCTAACACGACCCGCGCCCGCGCCTGGTCTACCCTGGCAAGTGTAGCTTGGTCCGACCTCTTACACGTACACAATAAATGTTAAACATTTTTATTGGATCCAAAGATATTTAATTTCGTTTAAGTATTAGGCTTGAAACAGAAGTCAAAATTTGGCCCGAAGGCCCAACACGACCCGCGCCTGGTCTACCCTGGCTTGTCGGCGGTGGTGGCAAGTGTAGCTTGGTCTGACCTCTTACACGTACACAATAAATGTTTGAACCGCAGAATATTCTTATTGGATCCAAAGATATTTAATTTCGTTTAAGTATTAGGCTTGAAACAGAAGTCAAAATTTGGCCCGAAGGCCCAACACGACCCGCGCCCGCGCCTGGTCTACCCTGGCTTGTCGGCGGCGGTGGCAAGTGTAGCTTGGTCCGACCTCTTACACGTACACAATAAATGTTAGATATTTTTATTGGATCCAAAGATATTTTATTTCGTTTAAGTATTAGGCTTGAAACAGAAGTCAAAATTTGGCCCGAAGGCCCAACACGACCCGCGCCCGCGCCTGGTCTACCCTTGCTTGTCGGCGGCGGTGGCAAGTGTAGCTTGGTCCGACCTCTTACACGTACACAATAAATGTTTGAACCGCAGGGCTTGTCGGCGGTGGTGGCAAGTGTAGCTTGGTCCGACCTCTTACACGTACACAATAAATGTTTGAACCGCAGGGCTTGTCGGCGGCGGTGACAAGTGTAGCTTGGTCCGACCTCTTACACGTACACAATAAATGTTTGAACCGCAGGGCTTGTCGGCGGCAGTGGCAAATGTAGCTTGGTCCGACCTCTTACACGTACACAATAAATGTTAAACATTTTAAACCATGCTAATCACCTTGTCCTTATATAGTAGAATGTTTTTCTCCATATTTTCGATGTAGGACTTTAACACATATTTGCTCACATTTTTTATTTCTTCATTCATTTGGACTTAGCCCATTTCTTTTCAATTTTTACCAATATTTTCTAAAGCCCGAAGGCTTTCAAAATTTGGGCCCAACACCCGCATCATGCGGCTTGTCGCTTGAGACATATGCTTGGATCTAACAAAAATGCTCGAAATTCGAAAACCAACCAAATTGGCCAACTTTTTATGTGGAGTTAGATCACTCGAGTCATACTTTTTCTTTTTATTTTGGTGTTTCATTTGCTACCTCTTAATAAAATATGGAGTCTTTTTATATAAACAAAAATAATTTGATTGGATGAAAACTTATAACCTTTTTGCAATTATTCCTTTCTAACTAAGATACTTATTTTTAGTACATTTCTATGAATTGTAAAACGAAACGAAAAAAAAAAACAGGAAAAACTAGTAATCTTTTCTTTTTGAGTGTCAATTTAAAAACTTTCAACTTTTGTAAGGTTTTCTTCTATCTTTTTCCTATTTTTTTCCTTTTGAACCTCTATTTCTCTTTTGTAAATTTTAATAATTTGCTTCTAGGCAAACGCTTCCGTTGCCTTCCCTGACTCAAAGGCAATGGCAACAGCATGTTCAAGCCTCTTGTTGTTACCAAATCTCAGACCGAACTGTAACCACAGACCCAATTTCAAGTTAAGAGCTGAACTCTCCCGTGAGATCAAGAAGGCAGCATCAATTGAGCATGTGAACGGTTCGGTCTCTGTGTCTAATCTACAAAACCAAAAAGGAAGTGATGCTTTGGCAAATGAAGTGAACGGGAAAGTAAAATCCGAGAGGACGAAAGAAGAAATTGAGCTGTTATGGGATGATGGGTATGGCTCAAAATCTGTGAAGGATTACTTTGCGGCGGCTAAAGAGATCTTGAAGAAGCCTGACGGTGGACCTCCACGGTGGTTTAGTCTTGTCGATTGTGGCCAACCCATCAAAGATGCGCCTACGCTACTCTTCCTTCCTGGTAAAGAAATCAAAGTTTTTTTTTTTTTTTTTGCAGAAATTGCTTTCATCTCCAGATAAGTAATTGGGTATTGTGTGTGCTTATAAGCTAAAACACCCTTCTTACAATTCTCCCAATTTTTGAGAGTTTTATTCAATTTCACTTCTTTGTGTTTTCATGGATAAAAAATTTGATTCTTTAGGCTGTTTTGTTTGAATTCTTCAGAAGACTGAGTTTCTACGCCTTTGTAATTGGTGTTTTACTGTTTTTATATGATAATTTTATATCCTGTCAAAGTTTTAGTCAGGATCAGTAAAGATCTATATGACTTGATTGTTTAGGCTGTCTTCAGAAGACTGAGTTCTACTCCTTAGTAATGGGCTTTTACTATTTTTAAGTATTGTTTCAAAGTTCCAAGCTTTCAATTTCAGTTTTCAATTTTCATAGTGCCTACTGCCTAATGATTGATATTCTTCCAATGTTTGAATGGGAATCAATAAAAGTGTTATAAAACTGTTTTAATCTGTTTCTCAGATAATACTTTAAAAAGTTTTAAGCTTTCCTGATAATTTCCGACTTTTCGTAATGCAGGGCTCGATGGCACAGGGATGGGGATTGTTCCACATCAGAAAGCCCTTGGGAAGTATGTTTACTCTGTTATGAAGTTTAGCTTTCCTAAAATGTCATAGGATTAAGAATGTACAAATAGAAATATATATTTATCTAATGGAAGAAGTCTAATCGAAACAAATTAAACATAGTCTCTGATGCAACGTATTTTATCTTTTCTATTATATTGAATGTCGTGTAATTTTTAACACAAGTGTTCGTAGCCTCTGACTGTTGTTATTGTGGTTTCTGGATACAGGGCTTTTCATGTCTGGTCCCTGCATATCCCCGTGCATGATCGAACTCCATTCCTAGGTAAACATTACTACGAACATATAAAAAGACAGTGATATACACTTCAGATTACTGTTTTTTATACAGTACTTGTCCCTTTAAGGTCATAGAACGCAAAGTCTGATTCCCTTGCTTTGGTTCCCTCTTATTATATGCTGATTTTTAAAATATATCCACTTAATGAATATGGTTGTCACTTCATATCCTTTTACTATGTGTGTGAGTGACTTTCAAATAGATAGTGAAATCCAATGAGTACTTCTGTATAAGGTCATTAGTTATTCATCTTGTTTGCTCGATTTTCTTCTGACTATCCTCTACTGTTGGGTTTACCAAAAAGGGCTGGTGAAGATAGTCGAAGATGTGTTGAGGCAGGAGCATGCTACTCGTCCGAATAAGCCAATATATCTCGTGGGCGATTCGTTTGGTGGATGCGTAGCCCTTGCTGTCGCAGCAAGAAACCGTTCATTAGACTTAGTGTTGATACTAGTCAATCCAGGTCAGAAAATATTTTCTATTTCAGTTTTGTAATTTGTATCTAAATGAATACTTACATTTCAATAGTCCGTTTTCGTTCTTTGTAGCTACATCATTTGAGAGGTCTCCGCTACAGCCGTTGCTGCCTATATTAGAGATGGTGCCAAAAGAGCTTCATTTTACTGTTCCATATGCTCTAAGCTTCATTATGGGTACATGAATTGATGCTTATTATATAAGTGAACAAGTCCTGCATTTCCTTCTTGAGCTATCTTTAATTAGGCTTTCTTGATATTTAGGTGATCCGATAAAGATGGCTACAATTGGTATAGATAACCAACTTCCAGCAGGAATAAAAATGAAAAAGTTGAGAGAGAAGCTTACTAATTCTATGCTTCCTCTTCTCTCTGTGAGTGTCTTTTACATAGTTCTGTTCTGCACAAGATGGCATCTTTTTTTAACGATACGCTTTCAGGAACTCGGTGACATTATTCCCAGGGAAACTTTACTTTGGAAGCTTAAGTTGCTGAGATCTGGCGCTACTTATGCCAATTCCCGCCTCCATGCAGTTCAAGCCGAAGTCTTGGTCCTTGCTAGGTAAACTTCACTTTCTCGATTCTTATCTTGGTTTATTAAAGACTAAAAGAGATACCAAGAACCTGTAAGTGTTTATTGGCATATCATCAAGAAGTTATAGAAAATGATTTTGGATTTCATTGGCTTACAGTGGAAAGGACAGGATGCTTCCTAGCCAAGAAGAATCGAAGCGACTTCATGGAGTGCTTAAGAACTGTACTGTCCGATGCTTCAAGGAGAATGGGCATACACTTTTACTGGTAACTAAACCTACTGATTCACTATTGAGTGTATATTTTCTTTTTCTCCATCTGGTAGGTGGCAAATTAACCGGAGTATACGGAGTATTCATAAATACCTGAATGGGTTCCTTGTGTAAAAACTTTTTCGGATACCTAGACCGAGCTGGAAACAAACCGAAAACTGAAATGATACAGAAATATTTGAAAAACAATTATATACCAAAATAATAATTATATTTAGACTCAAGATTACAATTAGAAACCCAAGATACTAACCAAATTTGAGAATGTTTGGATATTTGCTTGGGTTGTTCCGGTATTTCGAGTAATTTTCTTCGGGTACTTCATATATTTAGATATTTTTTGGGTATTTTGGGTAGTTCGGATATCTGAAGCTGAAAAAGTTTCGGTTCTAAGTTGGTTCTTGGGTTTACTACTCCCACTGTTTTTTAATGTATAACGTTTTAGGTGTTGCACATATATTAAGATAAATTTTTGTAACAATGAATTTTTTTTCCACTTTTTACTCCTATATTAATTATTATTTTTTCTCTTTTTAAGTTTTCCATTCATTTTAACTTATTTTACCCAAAATATTATCATTAATTGATCTTGAAAAGCTAAAAGAACATTGTCAATCTTTAACATCTTTCAAAAAAATAGAGGAAGTATCATTTATTGACTTACTCTTTATTACATTGTCCCAGGAAGATAGCATCAGTTTACTCACCGTTATAAAAGGTACATGCAAGTACCGACGCTCCTGGAGATACGATTTGATTTCTGATTTCCTGCCGCCGAGTAAGGGAGAATTGGATTACGCCCTTCAAGAACTGCTCGGGTAGCTTCTCTAAGCCTTCCTTGACTCTAAACAGTCATTAAAATACTCAATTATTGAATTTTTGCCAAACAAAGTACAAACTCTTTATTAACCAAAAAAATACACACCAACTTGTATTGACCAAGCCATTTTAGATATATCAATAGTCAACTTTAACACTAGTTTAACACTGTTAACTGAGATTTAATAATCCATCAATATCATTATACTAAAACTTGGGTACCCCAACTCAGAGAAATGTAGCAGCACCCGCACTATTTTGGTGTGAATTGATACCCAACTCTTAAAATTTTGAATATTCATACCTTAACTTTACATCGTCCCGCCAAAACCATTGACCAAAATCTCGTTAGTCAACGTTTCTAATTCTGTTAATGATGATGACTCAGCCGCCCGGTCAGAGCACCTGTACATTATTTTGCCAATTATTAAATTCAATTTTTTAACTCATAACGATGTTGTTTTGATAATAAGTTTAAATAATCTAAAAATAGATTTCCTTTGATAAAAAAATCTAAATAGAATCTGATATAATCTTTAATAGAATTTAATTCCATAACTTAAAGATTGAACAAAATGTATATATACACTTTTTGATTAGTCAGAATCAATTAATCAATTGATCAACCAAAATATAAATTACAATTAAAAGATTAATCGTATGGGATTCTTCACTACGACCTTTACCTTTGCCTCTCGAAACTCACGCTCGAAACTCACGCTCTAGGCTTCGATTTTCCTCGCTCTGTTCCTCTTCTACATCGTCTTTTCCTTGACAATTTCAATCGGTACTACGATCCGAAGCTGAAACGAGCGAGGCAACGGTTTTTAGAGAGATCAGGAGTCTTCGTTGTAGAGTATGTTTCAGAATCGAAAAAGATGATGTGCCCATTGATGAATAATGAGTTTTACTTTGATAAACTAAAATTGTTTTAAAATAGAATTTAGATTCATGATACTTGTCAAAGTGGTTGAAACTTGTGGCTGGTTGAAATTCAGAGGTTCAATCCATGTTAGGGACAAAATTAATTTGTTTTTTTTAGCAAACGACATCATTTCAAATTAATTTGTTTGAGTATTTTACGTTTTTTTAGTACTTTTGGGTATAGCAGAATTTTAAATATTGGTTAACAATGTTAAACTGGTGTTAAAGTTGACTATTAATATACGGTCAACACAACTTGATGATTTATTTGGTTTAATAAAGAGTTCTTTTTTTTTGGCAAAACACCAACAATTCAGTATTGTAATGACCATTTTCCCTTTTTTCTTATAAAAAAAGCTCCATGTGATAGTATATGGTCTGCCTATTTTTCCTTGTCACAAGCAGATTCTTACGAAATGCTGTTAGTTCTGTGTTTCTATCAACTTTGGAAGATGGGAGTATAGTGAAGGGACTTGCTGGTGTTCCGGATGAAGGCCCTGTGTTACTTGTTGGTTACCACATGTTGATGGGCTTAGAACTTGGTCCTATGTCCGAGGCATTTATCAAAGAGAAGAACATTCTCTTTCGCGGTATGGCCCATCCGATTTTATATTCGGAAAATGATTCAGAGAAGGACTTTGGTTACATGGACTGGATAAAGGTGTTTGGTGCCTACCCTGTCACTGCAACCAATCTTTTCAAGCTGTTATCTTCTAAATCTCATGTTCTTCTCTACCCGGGTGGTGCACGAGAGGCTCTCCATAACCGGGTTAGCCATCTTCATATCTCTTTTTATTATTTGGTTTGATATAAGTAAAATTAGTAGTGAGAAAGCAAGTGGTTTCACCCTCTTCAACAAGTGGGAAGGAACTTTCATTTCCCTCTTAATGTCATAGAAAGATGAGAAAAATTAATGAAACTTCCATATGATTTTTGAAATTGTTGTTTTAAAGAATCCACTTATTATCTGGCAACTGGAGTCTTGATTGTTTGTTTGCGTTTGTATGGCTAATGTAATTTTCTTTCAAAAGAATCCACAACTTTTAGTTAACAAAATTCATTTGTTCATTGTTAACTCAGATGTCGTACGCGTTATTTTGCAAAGTTATACTATGAAAATATGAAAGTTTAGAAGTCCAAGAAACTGTTAGAACCCCAAAAGGTTTATTGTTAAAAAAGATGATTTTGTTTTTGAAAATCTTCCACGTAGAAATACAAAAACTTGAACATTAGCATTTGAGACAGTTGAGGCCTGAATTTAGCCTTCTGAAGTTATCATAGTTTCTGATTATATATACTACTTTCTATTATCTTACAGGGTGAACAATACAAACTAATTTGGCCTGACCAGCAAGAGTTTGTAAGAATGGCTGCACGGTTTGGTGCTACAATAGTGCCGTTTGGAACGGTTGGTGAAGACGACATAGCTGAAGTAAGCAAAAACATCCCAAAATTTGCAATGCTCAGTTGTTTAAAATTGGCAAAATTTATATTTTCTTTTTCGCTTTTACAGTTGGTTCTTGATTACAACGACCTAATGAAGATTCCAATTCTCAATGACTATATCACGGAAATAACTACCGATACCAAAAGATTTAAGTTGAGGTAAATTTGCTTTTAATTTAACTAAAACAGACCCTTTGATTGTTTGTGTTTGCATTGCAACTAGAGTTTGTTTTTCATTTGTTAACTGTAAACAGAAACTCTCGTTAGCGTGGTCTCGTTAGCGTTTGGCATCTGTGTTTACATTTTGCAATTGTGAATATGTTTTCGAAAGTTTTACATACCTTTTGGTGTTGGTATCTACAATTTGCATAAACAATTTTTTTTTATCTTCGGTGATATGATTTTCTGTATATCTTTATACACATGTAATTTAGAATTGGTCCGTCCAAATCGGGATATTGATTTTGTATCAATTTTTACAGTTTTAGGTATCTTGGTTTATAAGTAAATTATATATCTAAGATAAAAGCAAATCTATTATGGATGATCTGGTTTGGATTCGGTTTTGAGCAAACTATATCATTAATTTCCAAGAAATTCTTGTTTAAATCCGTTTTATTGTTCGTTTTGGTTCGGTTTCACGTTTCCAGTGTTTGGGTTATAGAATAAGTGGATTCAGGAAACGGTATTATTGTTCGGTTTTTAGAACGGTTTTTTCTGTTTGTTTCGGATCAGTTCGGTTAATGCGGATTGAGCACCCAATAGTATTACTGGTTGAAACAATTAGAGCTATACTGATGCGTGTAGATGTTATAAATCAAAAACTGATGAGTGTTGTGATGATATATATAGGGAAGAATCAAGTGGAGAGGTCGCAAACCAGCAGCTCTACATACCAGGGCTCTTACCGAAAATCCCCGGTCGGTTTTATTACCTGTTTGGGAAACCGATACGTACCAAAGGAAGACCGGAACTCGTAAAAGACAAAGTAGAAGCAAACCGGGTTTACTTGGAGGCGAAAGCGGAAGTAGAGAAAAGCATAGCTTACTTGTTGAAGAAACGAGAGGAAGATCCATACAGAAGTGTTGTAGACAGGCTAAGTTACAGTTTGACACATCTTCCTGAGAATGATGTTCCTTCTTTTGAACCATGATTGAAACAAAAAGGGTACGTTTAGTTTCTGACAAACAAAACAGATGTAATTGATGTGTCTTATAGAAAAAATCCATGTATAGCATATATCTAAATTATTAAAAAAAACATAATTATTTTCAGTTATTATGTAGTATTTACAAGTCTTTGTCATTGCATTTACTAAAAAACTAGGTGAATGACAAATTACTAAAAAACTAGGTGATCGGTCAGGCTATAAAACATTTTATATGTTCAATTATGATTAATTATGATTAATATAGTATTGAAGATATTTTATTTGTATATAATTAATTATGTATTAATAACAAAATAATAAATATTTGATAATAAAAAATAACGATAAATTAAATATAAAATATTATATATTTCAATAGAAAATGAAGATCAAAAATATTAACTAAGATTTTAAAATATTTTTTTGATAAAAAATGTAAATATGGTAACTAAATAAACAGAAAAATATGAAAATTATATAATAATTTATTTAATTTTTATTTTTGGTCTGCATGCATGTAAATATAATTTTTTATAGACATAATTAGTTGTAATATTTAAGTATTGATTAATTTTCTTATACATGTAAATGTTATGTTTGTATACATATACAATTTCAGTATTCAACAACAATCACACAAATGTTTCATATCGTTTTGTGTTTTTTGAGAACTTTTTATTTTTTCTAGTGTTTACAATAATATATAATTGCAAATATAAAAGTTATATTAAATAATAATTAAATTCTTATAATATGTTTTGAATATTATTTATATAATACTTTATTTTTCTCTTTACATAATATAATATTGCTAATATATATATTTTAAGTATATATTTTCCTTGACCTATTGCTAATTAAACCAAAATGAATTCTTCCATATTTATTTATCCAAAAAGCGAGTAGATGGTTCATCCGCACATTCGTGCGTACCAACCACCTCACCGCTCTTAGGACATATAAAATTTTTTTAAAAAAATAAATAAATTGTCTAACAACTAAAATTAAAATTAAAATTAGAGTGTAATCGATTTAACAAAATGTATGCACGACAATTTTGCATTCGAGTTTGACTTTTGCACAATTAATATTTATATCTACACCAATATTTGTAAAAAAATCGAAGTATGGCTTTTATGTGTTAAAATAAAATAACAAAGTATATGTTTTGTAATATATATTTTTCTAATGTATGGTTGATTTATTTTTAAAAAAAAATAATAGTAAGTATATTTATGCATGTATGTATGATTTAGAAATAAGTGAATTATAATATTTATGTGTTGATAAGTTTTTTTCTGGTATTTTCTGCAAATGTTATGTTTTTAGACGATGTAGTTATTGGTGTTTAACAACAATCATGAAAACTATTTCTATCGTTTTATATTTAATTAAAGTTTCTTATTTTTTAGTGTTTGATGATATATGGTTTCTCAATAAAAATATAATAAAAAATTTAGTATAAAATTTATGAAATCATATTTTATAAAATTCTCCGGTAGCTCTCTTATCTCTTCGTCAAATTTTTTTAATCTGCAATCACTCATTTCCACAAACTCTCTGTAACCGAATCGTTTAAACCAATCGGATCTAAACTTATATGTGTATGATTTAAGATATAAAATAATATATTTAATATTTGATTGTTATTAAAAATTAAGAGTTGATCTGTTCCTAACTTTAATATATTTGTTAATATAAAATCAACATATACAAAACTTGATTCATGAAATAATGTTTTAATATTTTAGAAAAAAATATATGCATTAAAGAATTAGTATGTGTAAGATAATATTTTTAAAATTTCAAATAAAAACTTAAAATCGATCAAAAATATTCTTATTTATTTATTTTGTCTTCTTTGACTATTACCCAAAATCTTTCACAGAAAGATTAATTGACTTTATTTAATATAAAAAAATTTCAGAAACCTTTTCTAATATAAAAATATTTCAGAAAAAATATTGTATAATGTCTTACTAAAATATTATTACGAAACTGTATCCCAAATTTTGTTTTTGAAATAAAATCAACAAATAAAGTCGATCAAGGAGAATAGACCTTGGCGTGTAAAACACGCGTCCCTTCTTCTCTGAAAGGCGATTTTTCCTGCGACACAAAAGCTTAGATCTGCAATTGCCTCATCGGCGTCCGGCTTCGTCCGGCGTTGTGTGAGGGCCCCCTTCTTGTTTCTTTTGTTTTTTCCTCTTTCGGTGTTGAGTTTTTTCCGGTGATAGAATTTTAGATCTCGTTCTGATTCGGTGGTCTACGGTGGTCTTTGTCGTGGTGATGGCTAGGCAGCTATGTTGAGAGGCGACGGTTGGTTCCTCGGTCGATCTATCCTGCTCGTGGACGGCAGATTCGTCAGATCGGTTGATGAAGACATCTCAACTGAACCAGATTTAACCGAGCCTCAATTACAAGAAGTAGACATACCGGTTCTAAATAAAGGGGTTATAACGAGACAACGGCCCGTGCACTTCAAGACAAGTACAACCAAGCTATTTTTCAATGCTATGTCCGAGTTTAACCAAGAAAGCCCAACAAAAGCTACATGGAACGTTGCATGGGATATTTTAGAAGCTATGGACCCAACTAAGGCACAAGAAAACTGGCATTTAATATCAAACAAAGCCCACGCCAACTTGCTTGTCATTTCTACACTTGAGAACAACACTTAATATCAAAGAAAAACGGTCAAAGAAGAATACATTACACTTATTCACGCCCCAAGTTAAAGAAGGTAAGTTTCTTGTTTCGTCAAATCATATTATTTATTTTAACTAACCTCTTTATGTTTCTCCTTATGATTGATCTTAGCCAACCAGTAATTCATTTTTCTTTAATTAGTCAAGGCATTTGTTAGCCACCATTTTTGCTATTTCATTCCAATAATGTTGTTTTCATTTAAGTGTAATTTTTGCTTCAAGTCCCCTACAAGGGCATAGCTGTTCAGATCACTTTATAAGGTCCCCTCTCACAGTCTTGTATTTTTACCTTGATTTTGATAAAGAACCAAATTTTCTTTCACAAAGTTTGTAAACCAAAACTTGTGTTTATTCTCCTTAATTTTGTTGAGGCCAGCACCTCCAAAACTAAAGAGAAACCATGTTGTATCAAAGGCCCTTTCATCATCTTTGTGGTACACTTCGATCCATCCGGTCCTGACATTTGGTCAGTTTAACCCACGGTCAGATCGTCTAAGTTCCTTGACCTCTCGACCAATTCTATCATCACGTCGTACCATACCACCTGTACTGTCCCCTCGTCCCGTCTCGTACCGCACCCCGCATTACGACACCTTCGTCACACATCGTATCAGCCGTCCCACTCGTACCATACCACTCGTACCATCCCATCCTAAATTTTGACCCATAGCTTGAGTTCCTCGGCTGTTCGGTCATATCCCTCGTCCCATTTCATCGTCCAGTCGGTGCTTGTATCATCGGTGGGCCGCCTTCTCTTCGCGGAGGTTTTCTCTCCAGATCGGTCTATCTTCGTTGTCGTTGGGGCCTTCTTGCTGTGGCTTTTGAAGAGCTTCGGTGGGCTGAGGTGGTTTTGCGGTTGTGTAGAGGTTTCGTTTCTCTTCTAATTGGTTTGGATCTAGGTTTTTTCTTTTTCGCTGGTGGTTGCTCCAGTTAGGTCGGCTGAGCTCTCACAGTGGCTGCGGTCATTCTCCGACAGCAATGGTGGTGCGTTTGTTGTTCTGCAGTTCTTTTGAGCTGGGATGGAGGCTTCTTAGTGTTGTGTGTTCCTCTGTTTTGCTGTGGTGGTTCTTGTGGGTTCGAGGACGGCTCCGATGCCGCCAAGGCGCAGGGGGATGTCACTTCTTGATTCTCCTCAGAGTTGTGGCATTTGGCTTCAGCGCTGTGTATCTCCATCGACGGCTTGCTGGTAAGATGGGGCTAGGGCGATGGTTAAAAGAGGTGTGGGCTTCCCCGGCGACGGCTGGTGGTTTTGCTTCGGTGATGATGGATGTTCAGAGCTCCTCATTTTGTCGTTTTCACTCCCTCTCTTCTCTGGTATGTTCCTGGATCTCGGTGTGGCTCCTTCTGCTTGCCCGATGTGTGTTTTGTTTCGGGTTTTGGCTTCGGCAGGGTTTAAAGGATTTCATTTTCGGTGGGTGATGGCCTCTTCGTTAGCTTCGGTGGTATCTTGTTTTCGAATAAAGGCGGCGGATTTTGCTTGGCGACTAATTTCTATCCGTGAGAGGTGATTCTCGCAGCTTCTTAAAGCTAGAGAATGGTAGCTAGAGGCGGCTTCTCTAGCAGGCCAGGAGACTCCCGTGCCGCCGGACAGTGGTTAAGTGGGTTGAAGCGTTCTCGTTTTTGTGTTTGTCCTCGGAGAAGCTGTAGGTGCTCTTTTCCGCGAGGTTTTGAGGGTTTGCCTCGTGTACAGTTGCTCGTGGCAACAACAATGAGGACTACAAGTTTCGGATGTAGGTTTTCAGAATCGGTGTTTTATCTACGAATTTCTACTGGCTGCTATTGTGGAGGTCTAGCTTGTCGTTTTTGTTCTTCCTTTGACTTCTGTTTGTAGCTATGCCTTTGTTTTAGATTTTGGTCTTTCTGCTTTTCTTAGTTGTCTCTGTATTCTGTCTCAAACTCTAAAATGGTATAAAATTTTACATTTTACCAAAAAAAATAAAGTCGATCAACCTTTCATAGAAAGATACTAAGAACCAAAAAGCTTTAGATCATTAAGGTGTAAGTGAAAAGATATTATTTCAAGGAATCTTCGGGAGTTGGTGGTATGGCAATCAAAGTTATATGTCGTCCACAAATTGGTTTATAAGTTAGCCCACAAACCAAAATCATCCAAACCTGAGATTTACAGAAAACTAGTTCCATGCAGCTTTTTCAAGAGATAGTTTGAAGGGTTAAACAAAATCCGTTTAAGCTGATATTTGGTGGCAGTTATGGTGGCATGTCGGACTTCATAATCTATGGTGAGATTGAGAAGTTAACAGTTAGTTTGGTAGGAAAAAACAGATAATTCCCCTATAAACTAACAAGCTCCTGGCGATTCATATATGATCTATTAACCAATGCTAATAACTACATGAACTATCTAAAATTTTGAAAATACTACATGAACTAAAAAGCATAGTTGATACCACCAAAATTGCATATAATGTTATTTATAGCGTTAGCGA